TCTTATGAGTAATTGTATTATGAAGTTTAATAAAAATTTACATTATTTGATTTTATCGCATTAAATGTAATGCATTCATTATTAATCGTTGCCAATATTCGCCTTTTCCCATTTAATGAAATTGATGTTAAATAAATGTCTTAGCTCTGGAATGTTTGCGGAACACAGCCATTGCCTCTGTCTAACATTCGAAATATTTTAGAATTCTTTATCGAATTGGGTGTAAAACCAGGTTCTCAGTTTTGAAATTCTTGATTTACATCGTAAAAGCTATTTCTGAGAATTCAAATTTATTACTGACCATATGATAACACAAAATCGTTTTTTCTAACTTCGTTATGTTATATAAACTAAAATGTTTCAGAATTACGCGGCATTAAATATACTATCTTGAATGGAACCTTATTTAATAAGAAAATAATATAAAATATTTTGCTGCTATGTTATGGAGGCACTTCTTTTTTTCGTGGCAAGAATTGTAAAAAATCAGCTCTCTCTCCTGAATCTGCCACATGGGTCTTCTGTTCCACTAATTGGATGTGTTAATCACTGATAGCATGAAGCCATAAACCAAGGAATACAACAATTTATTACATTCTCCCTCAGTAAAAGGTAACTGGGGAAGGACAAGGAGCGAATCGACAGAATCCATATAGCGACATTTTATCGTCTACGTCAGTTTTAGCTCGGGTGTCACTGCAGAAGCTATTAGTTTTTCTCGCTACAGCAAGCATGAAACTTTAGCTGTGCGTCACTTGGATTCTAACACGTAGATCTTTCATTTTGTTACGTTGACATTAGCACCATGGAAACATAATACGCTATTGTTTAACTCCTCAGCACATTTATAGAAAACACATTTTATTAATGATACCTCTAATATAAAAAAAATCTGACGTGTACACCACATGACTTCCTTGTACGGAATATTAAATTACACACATTTTTTCTTGCATTTTATTTAAACTTATTGGATTGAATTATATGTACTTCGTCGGTAGCACATGAACCACAATAGAATAAATGCACTCTTTAAAATTCACTATATTTGTTTACCATAGCGACACTCTGGCCCTAGGTTCACTTAAAAGCGTTACATTTTATTCCTTTTTTAGTTCAGAATGAACAAAATTTATATCATCTTAACAATTATCTAATCATTGCCACATGTTCTGTTGAAATACTATAATAAATCTAAAACGATGCATAAAAGAAATTAAGCAAAGAACAACAACAACAAAAAAGCAACAGTTAAAGAAACAAATAAATCTAAAATCATGTTTAGAAAAAATTAGCCAAACAACAACAAAAAAAGAAAAAGAAAAAAAAGAAAAAGAGACACTTTTTCAGAGACGATTCACTATTTCTCATTCAATTAATTCAGTTTTCACTTCGCGACAAGGCAAATACATAAAAACTTAAAATATATGCATTGAAAATTATGAAGTAAATCTTAAACACCTATTTCCTCGAATAAATTCCAGAATGGATTATGCATGATTTAATTCGCAATAATAAAAGAAGGCAATATGTTTGATATTGCGTAGCTTACTTCTCTAGATTGGCAAACAAATCCACTTTAGTTCTGGCAAGTTTTCAAATGTAAACAAACAGGTCCGCCACCCGCAAAAAATTAAGTAGGCTTAGCTGGCACTTAAACAGCAAACAAGTTTTAAATTGTTGATGAAATTGAGGTCACTGAGCCGAGTAACAGAGGGGATTGCATCTTGTGGTTATTTTATTAAGGAGGCACCTAATAAGCCTAGGCCACCGGAAGCCTAGGATGATGGGACTGACATAAATTCATATCATTTTTAAAGCAAAAAATGCACTATTTACAAACATTATACATATATTTACATACTTGTTGTGTCAATTCCATCCAAAATACGAAATTAGCAGTCCTATATACAGAATGCAACGTTCTGAGGCTATTCGTTTTTGGGTTATGCGAGATACGTACGTACATATCTCGCATAACCCAAAACATACGTACGTAAGTACATATACGTACATACGTACGTACAGACAGACGCCACGAAAAAATACGTACGTACGTACGTACAGACGCCACGAAAAAATATTTTCAGAATTCATTTTAAATCAGTTTTGTAATTTTTTAATGGGGGAAAAGAGTCTGTTATTCTATCGTTACGTACAGATATCACGCAAAAGCATCGTTAAATTGCATTCGATAGTCGCCAAAATGGATATTTTCGTTGAAATATGATACATGAAATTTTTCGCGATTACAATATTTTTTTTTACTTCGTACAAGGAAGTAAAACAAATTACTGTGAATTCTGAACACTGTGTTTTCCAAACCATCTGCAAATTTAATCTGTCTTTCTCCCTTTGCTCTTTAAATTCACAAGAAAATAACTTCTGTTATTTGGTTTTTTTCCTGATGCAGTAATTTAAATCACCGACAGTGTAATGCAATAAATTAACAATAATTACATTTGTTGTTTTATTATTTACCTTTAATTTAGAAAACGTTTGTAAAAATACATTTATCAATAATAATATGCTATACATAAGAATGGTTAATTTATCATTTAAAATGCAATTTAAAAAACCCTGTGATTCAATTAATGAAATGATTTAGGAGTGAAAAGATATGTCTAGTGTTAATGCTATGCAAATAAATTATGAATCAGTGTGAATAAAGCAAAAATGCTTGACTTAAATTGCACAACTCAAATATGATAGTTAAAAAGGTCATTAAAGCAAATGATATATGCAAGAACATACGGTGATTAAAACTACGACTCGAGCTTTAGATGCATTTTGTTTTTCAGTTTTAATAAATGGGTATTTATGCAGATTTCCTAGTCTATAGGAATGCTCAACTGAATCATTAAACTGAACATCAGTAAACATTTCCCTTTTTGTGTTTATTTTGGAAAGAATTTATACAAAAGGTAATAGAGACGTAAAGATCATGAGCAAACACATAAAGACGAAACAGACACCATTCATCTAAACATGCGCTTAATAAATATTATAAATTCACTTCACACCAGTAAATTATTCCAGTTTAATCCTCTTCTAGAGAAATTCAGTGGCTTGAAATGCATTTTGCAAGAGATGTTATCTGTTTTAATTTACACACGAATTAAATATTTGCTGTGTTATTTAAGTTCCGCATTTAATACTCAGTTAAGGCTTTTGAATACATTCATTAACTTTAGTTACAATCGATAATTTTGCTCTGACCTATGACAGAGTTTTAAACGTTAGATTTTATTTCAGAGGAGAAACAGACGATAAGCAAACATTGGTGCAATCTTTTATTTAAATCCTTATGAAATGCAGGAATTTCATTTTATCTTGAACGCTGATATATGGTAGAATGCAAAAATATTTTCGCTTTAATATCCGTTCAAACACGGCTCACCTTTTATTCTCGTCTTGAGTTCTGCCGGTTGTTTATAATAATTATATAAGTAAAATTATTTGCTTCTAATAGAGAGAGAGGGACTATTTCTTATCAAATGTAACAAAATTATAAATCAAAGAATATTATATGCTAGTAAATCTTAGAGGATTATCACTAAATGATTCTGAAGACCATTCAGTGATATTCCATCATGCTTTATTAGTGCATAATATCCTTTAACTCATACTTTTAGAGAAAATGCATAAACCTTAAATTGTTAAAATTATACGGCCTTTGGGTTCATAACTGTTGTTTATAGATTTGCATTGAAATTCTGTTGCAGATATGATATTAATATATATAATTAGATCATAGCTGAAGTAGCAACGTATAGCCACCACCTAACAGAATAATATGAGTCTATTTATCGCTCGCTTCTTCGACATGCATTTGATTGCGGCTTTACGCCTTGGCGAACGCGTTCATTTTCCCCACTGAACACGTGTAGTCTGGTAATGTCACACACACTGGGACGATAAGGACAATCAGCAGCTATAACAGATGAAATTTAGCAACGAGTAGCAGCTGCTTGAATTGCAGTATCCTCAAATGCTTTCCGAAGTGGCACCTCGCTGTTATAGCAGGACTTCTTTTAACTTATAATATCCACACTCCGTACATTGGCTGTAGAATATTCTGTTTGCACCTGTCATCTTTCTACCATAGGAAATCTATAAAATAAACACAGCTTTATTATATTTTGTCCTTGTTAGTGTTGCAAAGTTAATGTTCTGCACTAGATTTCCCCTAAAATTTCCTTACTAAAACTGTACTGGTTGAATATTTTGTAAGCGAATATTAAATGTTTCTCTTATTTCGACAGTCATATATAATTATTTGAAGTCGTTGCATTTAATTTTGGTAAACTTAAGCAGTGATATAATTTAAATAAAATAAACTAAAATAAATTAAAATACAATTAAAAAAGTTAAAATATTCTCTTAATATATGTTATTGTATAATTTGAAACGACAGCAAACGATGAAACGTTAAAAGAAGTCATACATCTCTATGAGTTTTTCACTTATGATTCGTTAAAAGAGTTGATGTTTCTGTTGATGTTTTAAAAAATACGTTTAATATATGAAAATTAGAATTTGTAGTGACAGATATTTCAAGTTACTAAAACGGTATTTTAAAGTAAAACAAAATTCACGTCTGTTGTCAGATAAATGTACAGCTTTCAGACGGTATTATTTAAAGACTGTATTATTTAAACAGTTTGAAATGATTGAACTTATTAAAGTTAAAGATATAATGATGGGATATTGTATATAATAGTTTATTAAGATGGAAGACGTCAAGTAATACTTTAAACTTTTATGACTAAATATCTTGAAGCTCTTATTATTTTGTAATAATAATTATTTTATTATAAAAATTAATAATTATTATTACAAAAATCAATCCAAAATTTTGTAACAATTTTGTAATAATAATGTATTTTTATATTGTAATAGTAATGTAATTTTGTAATAACAATTATAACAGTAAGTTCATATGTTTAATGTTTCAAACATATATATGAAGATTTATCTTCTGGTCACTTATTTTACAGATTTGCCTCATCCTTTTGCTATTACCGTCTTTGAGGATCATTTGTTCTGGACCGACTGGCAAACGAAAAGCATACATAGTGCTAATAAGTTCACGGGCAGGAATGCAACTACTCTCCACACTAAACTCCATTTCCCAATGGATCTCATCGTCGTCCATCCCTTACGCCAACCTTATAGTAAGAAGTATTTAATAATTTCATTAAGATAAGATAGGAATGAAGACATGATGTTAGGATTCCCCTCATGAATATCTTTCATATATATTTAAACGTAAAACATGTTCATGGAGTCCAAAAAAGGTCTCTTTCCATTCCTGTGTAAATAAAAATATATAGGAATTTTCAATGAGTCTCTCTAATCTGTTATCTGATAAATCATTAGTGGGTGAAGCTAGTATTGCCAAACTTTTCGCACTTACGCAGTAACTCAAAGAAAACTTAGTTACGAAGTTTCAGGAAATTTCTTTTGATTTTGTTTTGTTAAAATAGACCTACATTCAAACGAAAGCAGTGCATGTTTAATCAAAATATTCTTGGGGCAGAAGACTTGCCGAAAGTTCAGGCACTGCCTTCAGATCTCATTTCCAGAACACTACACTGAGCTTCTTGAAAACGGGATTCGTTTATTATGCCTAGTGCGACTTTTGATCGAAGATGTCGTAACATATGCTTAGCGTTCGCTATGGCAATCGCTTCATTGAAAGAGGCTTTTTGAATCGTTTTGACGAAGGACTTGCTTCACTCTCCTTGCACTTATCGCCATTTCGTGTCTTCTAATGGAGCTGCGCTAAAGTCTACAGAGATCAACTAATACCATAGAATAGCTAGAAATATCGCCGTCATATCAAATGTGTTAGGGCTAGTTTCAACAATCCAACTCAGGCGGGTTATTCAGACCTTTGAACGGAAGTTTCGGTCTGACGTTTCTTTGAATGGAAAACTTTTGAGAAGCTCATCTGTTAATTTCCTGTAATCTCAACAACAAATATTGAAAATTTGAAACAAATATCCTATTTTCGCTCAACATCATTTGGTTGTTATATTTTCAAGACTCTAGGAAAAGATTCTGTTATTGCTTTTGAAATTCAGTGCCTGATACCTCCTGCTATGTAACTGCAGACGAATGTCGCAGCTAAAGAAAACATTTTCCTTTATACTTCAGGCTTTAAATTATGTAATTTTAGCATGTATTTGTAAACCTCATTAACCAGCTTAACGCACTTTTTAATTTTTTTTTGAACCGAAGAATTACAGTCTTAGCAATTAAACTGAAGTCTCAGTAAACTTCAGTAACGCAATCAAAACATAAAATTTAACTGAAATACTTATTAAAATTACATCTTTTGGTAGAATTAGATTTAAAAAAAGTACTAGTTACTGCTACTGACGCATTTCACTAGTCCACGTATTTAAATAAGTCCAATACACAGTTTAACACACAAATTTTCATTGAGTGGGAAAGTACGAGAATAAATCAATGAAAGTTTCCATCGATTCTGGGAATTATACATGTTATACTTAAACGATATATTTATTATACAAAATGATTTTGCAATTAATTCTCAGGAAGTGCAGAAATCATCTGGATAATAAGAATTTCGAATTTTACATTTATTTATCAATAATAAATATAAAGCTTCAATATATTATGAGTGTAACACCAATTAAATATAACGAGTAGAAAAATGTTGCATCGGGATATCTGTGCCTGTAATAAAAAACGCTCATTAAAACAGAATTAAATTTTTTTAAACAAATAAAAAGCGCTCGTAAAAACAGAATTAAATTTTTTTCAAACAAACAAAAAACATAGAAATATTACTGAAAGGTTCGATTTTTTTCAATAGTTATGTAAGACTTTTTCAAGAGGCTACATATTTCTTTAAAATAAAAAAACGCCAACAGCCAAGAACATCTATTCAAAATAAATCAACTACCACATTGTATTAAATACAGTTAACCATATTAAATTAAATCATTTTAGAAAGTATGCAGATTAAAATTATTTGTTTTTTGTTTTTTTTCAGTTCGTGATTCCTGTGCCGAAGACAATGGAGGATGCAGCCACCTTTGTATGCCTAATAATGTATCATATACATGCTTGTGCACAGTCGATGCGCCTGTCCAAATAGATGAGAAAACATGTTCAAAAGGTGCGTGATTTAAAATATAAATTTTGAAATCAGCAATTTAAATATTTATATTATAAGATGACTAATGCAACCGAGCTTCTTTACAGCTAGCTTTTGGAAAACATTTTACAGGATTCACAGTGATTGTTTACCTTTTTCTCTTGTAGAGCCACAGAGTTCACATTATATGATTTCAAAAGACTTTTTATATCGCGGTTCTTTAATATATGTGAAGGAAATAATGAAAGATCATGTCTCTAAGCGATAATTTTACGTTCAGTTCATCGATTGCGACGAATTATTAAGATGCAATGCCAAATGGTTTCGGTTGGTTCTCCAAGATATCATAAAAGTTACTACCATCATCTCGTAACTTGTCGGACCAATCTGCCACGGTTTCACTGCGCCATGAGCGAAATAGGATTGTTTTCTTCCAAACTGTCCTAAGAACTTGTTCATGATACTGCGGTCGTAAGCTCGTTTCTAGTACAATTCTCGTTCATCATCGTTCTTATCGAAGAACACAGTTTATCGTATGATGATAGACTACTCCAAAGTTCTCTCATGAATTTTATATCTTTCTGCAGTAGCATAAATTGTATTTAGGGATCAGTTCTGAAAATGAAGCTGATAATTTACATACATATCATATATCTTTAGTTAAGATCGTAATTCATTATTCTAATTAAACATCTTAGTTCAGCCGATGTCGATTCCTGATTCTTTGAAAAAAGATGTCATAATATCGTTGCTGTACAACGGTATATATCTGGCTGCCTAATTATAATTTACCAAGTATTTTCTGTAAAGAACAAAAATTAGTGTATGCGACTATTTAATAACTGATAAAAAATAAAGTAGTTAAAAATATACATGTGTGCCATCTATTATTAGCGAAGAATTCATATTAAATAGTCTAGAGGAGTCGATATCGATTTCTTATCCTCTGAAAGAAAATCAGAATGTTGTTTTACAACTGGTACAATATTTATTTTTCGAAAAATTCTATATTAATAACCCTCTAATGCCCATGGTAGCATATTTGCTACCATATATTAAATGCCACGTTTTTATACCAGGAACCCCATGAAATGTAATTTTTATAGCATAAATTTTAGATTGAGCCTTTCTCGTGTATTATGAACAAATGTTAGGCATAGACAGCAGCACCAGTTTAAAGGAAAAACATTAAAAGAAGCATAGATGCAGTAAATAATGCAAGTACCTTTTCAGAAGTAAGTTGTTTATTTATTTTACAAATATTTTATTAATAAAACAGTTAAAAATTACTATTTATATAAAGTAAAAGCGTTAGTGTATCACACAGTACAAAATCAAACAATTTTACAAAATTATCGTTTTTAATGCTAAAATGTTGAAATTAGTTCATGATCATTAATCTTTGTAATTTTACAGATAATATATTCATAAATACAATTTATGGATTTAAATTTTATTAGTTTAAATTTTGATAATTTTATTAGTTTTAAACTTTTATTTTTCAATTTAAAAAATATATTAAGATATATTTTTCCTGTAAAAAGTCTCTAGGAAAATTCATTTTAAGATTAATGTTGAAAAATAAATTTAATCCTCTATTAAATCTCAAGTTCTTTTTAATATATTTGTACTTTATTTATTGAATAAAATTTTAAAAAATTAAAAAAATTTTCAGAATTTTGAGCAAAATTTTGAATTTTTTTTCAGCCATGCACTTCAGGTCTCTTTTTCCACAGAGTAAGAGGAAAAAATTTGTCTAAAAAACTAGATGATGCCATAGCATATATGAATGATTTGGAAAGAGATTTATCCGATATATCTGATGACTACTCTGTAGATGAATATATGCCTATACGAACATCTGATATCTTTCATGAGGGAAGCTCAGATGATGAAGACTAAGATTATAATAAAGATGTAGAAAATGACCAAAATGCATCAAATATTGAAGAAAGTCTGTATCTACGTAAGAGCTATAAAAATTTGAAATTGTCTGGAAGAAAAAAGAACCTAATCTTATGCCTTCTTCAAATGGTGATAACTTTCCTACAGAACGTCTTCCATCTACTCTTGCATATTTTCAGATTGTCATATCAACAGATATGATAAAATTATTAGTTGAACAAACAAATCTGTATAGTGTCAACAAACAGGAACTTCTCTTATGGTGACGGCAAATGAAATAGAGCAAGTAATAGGAATGATTATCAGAATGGAATTAGTCCGTATACCTCATATTAGAGGATATTGAGAAGAGGCAATAAAGTATGAACCAATTGCAGAAGTAATATCTAGAAACAGATTTGAAAAAAATCTTAAGATTTTTGCATATTGCAAATAATTTACAAATTGATGATGATGTTAGAAGTGACAAATGCTAGAAGTGCGGCGGTGGTTGCCTAGACTTGGAGAAAACATGCTATCCTTTGCAGATGAGACCAAGCAGTCAACTGATGAAATAATGATTCCATTTCGTGGGACAATCTATATCAAACAATATATGCCTAAAAGACCTCATAGCAAACGTGGGTTTAAAAACGTGGGCCCAGTGTGGACAATCAGGCATTTGTTATGATTTTGATGTTTACACTAGAAAATCTGAAGGTTACTATTGAGATCAAACTGCCTACGCATTAGGTGTAGAGCAGGTATCTACGCAGCACTCTAAATAACACAACAAAACTACTATCTTTGTGGATAACTTTTACTCTGATATCCAATTAGTGTACAAATTATCCAAGAAAAAATGTAGGATTTGTTGGGATTTGAGAGAAAACAGGCTAATTAAATGTAAATTAAAGAACGAGAAGGAATTGAAAAAAGAAGGCAGAGGATCCATTGATTATTCTGTAGCATCTGCAAAGAACACAGATATCATAGCTGTAAATATAAATATTGTAACCTTAAATATTTGTTTTTCAATTATTTATTACTTTTAGGATCAATGAACTGATGGTGTGCATCACTTATCATTTGTAAATAACTGTACATAAACTGAACGAAATCTAAAAAAAAAAAAAAAAAAAAAAAAAAAATGTGTTTGAAAATTTTGAAAATCACTTGATTTGTACCCTAATCTGCCCATGGTAGCATATTTGCTACCATTAAGAAAACATTAAAAAATATTTTTTCACAATTTTTCACCATGTTTGTTTTATTTGAACTAAAATAACTCTTTTAACTAACAAATAATTTATTGTTTGGAAATTTCTTGTGGTGGGCATTGGATGGAAACTTAACAATGACTGTTTTATAGAAATTATTTACCAATAATCACTAAAATTTTAAATATCGCCCACACTATGTAAAAACCACGAATCTGCATTTTTGGTGTTTCGAAGTAAATGCATTTTATAGTATTGTTTGCTTTTCAACTATAATGAAACTGAAAGATGAATAGGAAAGGATTATTTTGTAATAACACACACAGTTAATAACTTCGTTTATTCTAATAAAAATTAAGCGTCAGAACGTGTTCTCGGGAAAACAACTGTCCTCCCGCAGATTCGCAGTTTTTCATGGGGTGCTGATAGTGAGATAGAATTACATCTTATAATTTTTAACTGAATTCCTTTTTTCCTTAAAAATTTTTTTAATATACTATTGAATATTTGAAATGTGCTATTGAATACTGAATGTGCTATTGAAGACTCAAAAAATACTTGAAATTTTGTATTAAATTCCCAAATGGGCTGTCATTCCACGAAATCTTTGAGTTATTTGAGAAAACACATAAACAAATTTCTGTAAAAATGCTGTCAATCCTTGAAACATCATTCCTAATAAAAGTCAAGCGTAGTGTTAGAACACTTTATCTATGTAGTATGGGCAATTCTGTAACATCTGAGACATCCTATTTCCGTTTATATTAAGTACAAAGTTCTCTTCATTTAAACAGTTAAATCGTAAAATATTCTATGTATATGAAGAAAGAGACATCGAATAATAAAATATTTATGCTTTGTTGGTTAAACGATTTTAAAAAAATGACATGGTTTGTTTCCTGTTAGATTCCACTTTCTCCTTGGATTTTTGGTTGATTTTAGTTTAATTGACTTCAGTCGAAAGTTAGTTGAAATAATATAAGATCTATTTTTAAAATGAAGTTCGTTTATGAATTACGTTGGAAATTTTTCGTGTGCGTGAAAAATCGTGCGTGCGCAGATAGCCGTCATTCATTGCCCACAACAAGATGCCACTCGCATTCATGGCATCAGTTTGTAAGCTTTGTAGTATGAGACTGAAATATTAAAGAAAATCGAGCATGCCTCAGACTGCGAAATACAATCAATCAAGAACAGTAACAACGGCAAGAAACATAAAACAGCGAAAAAGAAAAAACTACCAATAATCATCGCCAGATATGTGATGTGTGCGGTGAAAAAGTAGAAATGAATTAACAAAGATGCTATTCATTACAGATGAGAGAATGATGAGATGCTATTCATTACAGATGAAAGAGTAAGATTGCCTTAGGAGGCTCAAGAATACGTCAGTGACAAATCAGTGTTTGATAGGTCACCTGTAAGAACTGGCGAACTGGAGAGTTGAGCCCCAAACTTATTCCACAGAGATTTGAATAAATGGAATTAAGAAATGAAAACCACTAATGGCGAAACGAAAGCAAAAGAAAATGACTGGCTGGCATCATAGGTGACCCAGTTCTAAATATGTCCAAAACTCGCTGTCTATTACAATAAACCTTTAAACCTGTACAGACATTAGGTATATTTTTGGAAGCAGGCAAGACGAAAAATGAGCCATCGCCTTCGCCGTGAATCGAACCACGGACCCCTGGAATACCAGCCCAGTGTGCAGACCACCACACCACGAAGGCACGCTAAGAAAGAGGGAGAAACACCTAATAAACTGACAAGAAAATTATGCATAAAAGCCGAAAGTGCATGTAAATTCAAAAAATAATTTGAAACAAAAATCTCATTTTATTTCCTTCGTTTTCGTTGCAAAACGAACCTTACTTAAAAAGCAGAACTTGTATAATCAATTTATACTTTGTTTCTCTTTGCCTTTTATATGTCCTGTCATAACCTTGAAAATAACCACTTATTTACAGCTAACATAGAGAGTTCTAAAAAAAGTATGCCTAGATAGAATTTCTGTATAACACTGCTTTTATTAATGTAACATATTAGATGTAGATGCGACATTTTGCTGTGTACAATGCTATTATCAAAAGTAAATTCCGAACAGTATCAAGATAAATCAAATTATCATGGTTTGCAGTTTGATTTAAGTAAAGTGAGACACATTATAATTTCAGTTTGTTTTGATATATAATTTTACACCTTTGTAAGTCAAGTTGTTACTTTAGTATTTAGCAAATGTTTAATTTATTTAATACTGAACAAATTTAAAATGCTAACCCCCAGTTACATTTTTATTCATTTGAAAAATATAGTCTGTTAAATATTATGTGTTTTGACTGTGTCGCAAATATTAAAGAATTAAGATTCAGAAGTATTAAAATCAACGATTAAAATCAATGGCATTAAAAATTAGCATCTTATTAACTTATGTCTGAGAGCATTCTGTGTTTCTTTGCAGAATGGTCTACATTCCTCATTTTCACTCGCCGCAGTGATGTTCGATGGCTGTGCCTCGACTGTGAAGACGACGCTGATGTCGTTTTCCCCTTCCGCAACATCAGCAGCGCCGCGGCATTGGATTTCGACGCGGAGACGGATACCATCTACTGGTCCGACATCACAAATGACACTATTTCCAGATCCACAATTAACGGCTCCCAGCAACAGGTGATAAGAACAGTTTAGAATGCATTTAGTGAATGGCCTAGCGCGTCAGTGGATAAATTGGATCAATAGGGTATACTAGGAATTCATTTCAAGGGATAGAAATTCTTGTTCACTATATACACGGTCAGTTCTTGTTAATAAAGACATATATCTGTGCCAAAACCGACTGGTCTGGTCAAATGACTGACATAATTATATGAAGTTTGAATTTTTAAAATAGAATAAATGAAGGGTTATTTAAATGTTTTCGGTTCACAGTGTCCCGCCAATCCAAATTTGTCCATGGCGCTCAAGTCCATACGACAGTTAAGACGCGCAGATGATGCAATTAGGTTGACTAAATTAAAAGGAAAAAAAATCAGTGAAATACATTTATGATATTACAAACAATGATGCTTACCTGGTACACTCGATCACATTTAATTTTTGGACATAATTCCATAATATTTCTAGGATATCTTTTGTACAATATAATATGCGTATTTGTCAAGAAATAAAATATAAATGTGTGTCACGATTGCTACTCCATCTGGTAAGCATCATCAGTCTGTCACAAACATCTAATTAATCACACTAAATATCTCTACGAAATGCCCAACCGCTGTTAAGATAGCTTCCCGCAAGGCTAGTTTAGGGTTGCCAGAAAATGGCAAGGACATGCAGGTTTGCCAAATTTGGAGCGAAATCGCCCATTTGGCGACATTTGACGACAAAATTAGCGATATGCCAGAGACGGAGCGAGAACATTCTAGAACTAAATTTTTACCAATTTACCCCAGAATGTTATCGAAGGCAGGTCAAAAACTATATAAACCTTGCCTGTACGTGGAATAGTAGTCTATTATCAGTGAATCGTGAGTTTTATGGTGAAGAATATCTTGAGTGTGTTAAGCTCCGAGAGCGATCGACCGAGTCGGGAACTGTATTTAATGTTTTGCCGACCGAGTCGGGAACTGTATTTAATGTCTTCACTATAACCTGATAGCCGAAAGACTGTGTTGTTGATTGTTTCAGCGTGTTTATCGTAGTTGTTCGGTGGTTGCAAACGTATCTTTGGAACTCTCCTATGAAATACTGGCGAATAAATTTTGTTTTGATTCTTCGTTAGTTTTGTCATCCTTCACTCCAAATCCACGAATCCGTCAAACGCAGCAATATATAGTAAAATGACTAATAAGTGACTAAATTCTGGATCTAAATTTAATCCAAGAACTAAAGTGACGCGTTAAAATAATCAAGCAAATTTCGTAGGAAAATATAAAATATCAAAATAATGCTCACACTTTCTAGGTTAACTGGAATTTAAAGTTGGTGCTCTCCAATAAATAGTTTAAATCTCCCCACTAAACAACTTTTGGAATCTCCATTTCAATAGGTTAATATTGTCAGGTTTTGCTAGCTTATAATATGTTTGTTTCATCTTTTTAGAACCAACCAAATTCCTGTTAATCTGGAAACTTTGTAAAAAAAGTTTCTTCGCGCTTTCGTGCTACATATAGAAATAATCCATGTATTTAAAATAAACGCATTTTGATCTGTGTTCATGTTTACCTGATCTTAGAAAACAAGAAATGAGTAACTTAATTAAAAGAGATTAAAAGAAAACAGTCTGACAAACTGTAAAGACTCCCCAAAGCAGTGTTCCTTTCCCATGATAGATAGATTATTTCCTACTTTGTTTCCAAGATACGCTCATGTAAAAATTTTTGTCATATTGTCTTCTGTTTGTTTATTATTATGTTACTTATTTTTTTAATTTCGTGCTATATTCTCTAAATATGAATTCATCTCTTGCATTCTTAAAATTTGCAAATACATCCTTTGTTTTATTGCTAAATCGAAACGTAACAATAATAATAGATGCAAAAGGATTTCAAAAGGAAAAGAGTTTTTTCAATTATAACTGAAAGTAAACAAAGGCAGAATTTTATAAATTTTTAAAGACATTGAATGACTTTTGTTGACAACAATTTGTTCGCTGAAATCCCACAACAGATAGATAAATCTAATATCTTACCTTTAGAAAAGAATATAGCAAAGTATTAATTAATAACATGGCAAATTGAGGTCTTTCTCAATTAATCAAAAGAAAAAATTAGGAGTTAGTTCGTGAAATAGCTAAATAACTATTTATGCTGCATTTTCTATGTCTTTTTGCAGATGAATAAAATAATAAGTAACATAAAGCTGATTATTCACTTGTATTATCAAATAGTTTTCCAAAATTGACATGTCTGATGCTCTAACCGATTCATTGCATTCGTTTTGCCTAGACATCACATTACTTAAAATATTTGTTAATTATTTTTTTCTTTTGCTCAGCGTATAAAAGTGGACCTTAGCAAGTCAGCCAGTCTTTGGTATTGAAATAGAGACATAATTTACTTAAATATGAGAATCGCACATGGGGTTAGCGGTCTGAGAGGAAGGATAGATTCCTGGAGGGCATTCTAGGGGAAAGTGACTCGTATTCATGTTACGCACGAGGAGAACCTCGAAAACAATCTCGTGCAGCAAGCCACACAGTCTAGATTGGAGACCGGGTCTAACTACCTATATTTTGTGAGTTTCACTGCAGAGAGATTAAGATTTTTTTGAAGTAGAAGAGATGAAAAATGAGCAATGCCCTCGCCGGGACTCGAACTACGAACCTCTCGAATACTTGTTGAGCTTGCTGACCACTACATTATGAAGGCATGCTAAGAAGCAGTGGCGGCTCGTGGCTAAAATTAGTGGGGGTGCTGTTCCAAAAAAATTTAACCTTTGTTTTAAAATTATGTAAAAGGAAACAAACATGTATAAAAAGAAAATTTATTTTGAAACTTCATGAAATCTTACAAGAAAAAAATTGAACATTTAATTACTTTAACCAAAATTATTACAGTTCAATCTTTGTCTAGTCATTTAAAAATGAAATCCATTCCTCTTGTTTTAATTTGCGCGAAAAGCTCAATAATTTTCTCCTTGATCGGATGACAACTGAGGAAATTTTTCTTTATTGAAAGCAATGCAAGCGCATTTAGTCTTTCCGAATTCCTAGTGCTTCTTAGAAAAGTTTTCATTCTATTCAATGTTGAAAAGTAGCATTCTGCCTCTGATGTAGCCATGGGAACTCTCAAGAGAATTTTTATCAGTTTCGTAATTTCACTAAGAACATCATCTAGATTATTTTCGAAGATAAATTTCAGTAGCTCAATTAATTTGCAGTATTCATGGATATCAGACCTACAATAAAATACTTTTAGTTCAGTTTCAAGCTTTTCTTTTCCAATCATTGGATATGCTTCAGTGGACAGTACTATTTCTTCTGTAGAATGCTCATTCCTAAAACTAAGCATTTCTTGTTAAACAATTTAACGGCTGCTAAGTGTTTAGTGGAAGAATATCTGTGCATTATATCAATACAAAGTATAAAGTCACATATTTCCTTAGCTTCTGCCATCAGTGTCTTTGAAAAATTCTTAATTCTCTTTGAGTTTCTTAATTCTAAAATAGCAGTTTTGAAAACTTTAAACACACTAATTTCTCTGGATTGCATTTAGTTGTATATTATTTCAGCAAGAGGTATCTGATAAAAAATCTCTAACCGAAACTTGAAATTATCATCATTTAGATATTTTAAAATTCCTATTGCTTTTGCAATAGTTTGATCTACATTTGATGTTGACTGAATTTCAGTAAGGCAATTTTTTAATATTTGCAAATTTTCATGAACTCTGTTTATGGTCCGTATGATAAAGTTCCACCTTGTGGAGGAATACCACACGCGCGCAGAGTAAAAAGAAATCACGTTTTCAGCAACATGCCAGAATTTCGGCACTGCAAGAGCGACAGTGCTCTTCTCTCTACCCGGCTCGCGTGCTGCTGTGTGCGCATTCGCAGAACAGCCAAACACCACGTTGCTGGAACTGTGAAGCGCGCAGTTCCAAACAAAGACTTTCGTACCTTTTTCACAAAGTGGGGGATAGCTTAGCTACTGACATTAAGCTTAAGGATTATGTATTGTAGAAGTATAAAGAAAGAATTAAAGACTAAAGGGCACACTATATTAAATATTAAAAATAATAATAAGTGGAAATAGGGGGAGCTGCAGTTCCACAGTGCTTATTACGAGCCGCCACTGCTAAGAAGACGAGAGAAATACCTTATATCACCACCCGGCTACTAGGGAGGCACCATATTAAAGTTTACTTCTAAATGATACATATATTTTAAAAATTTCATAATACTACACTTTAAACCGATCATTTTGAGGAATTTTGTTCTCAAAATTTTAGTTTCGCAATGACTTTTCAGCCGAATACTAAAGACAATTCCGTTTATCAAAATTTATTACATGCCACCTATGGTATAGTTGTTTTTTTATATGACCACTTTATACGCATTTACTTCTTGATGTACGTAGCGTATTCGGAAACTAAGTACCGTTTCATTCTAGCGCCGTCGCAGCGCTGTGTTAGGCGTCCCGCGCATGCGCGCTAGTCTTTCTTGTTCACTGACTTTCAATTGCCGCCATTTTGGTTGCTCTATGTTGTGTTTTCAGTTTGCTGTGCGCATTCAAAATGTTTAAGAAAATTAGTTCTCCCGCTGACTGTGAGATTCGTGCCGTATTAAATTTTTGAACGCGAGGAATGTTAAACCGGCCGAAATTTATCGTCAAGTGACAGAAGTTTACGGTGAATACGCGATAAGTGATGGAATGGTGAGAAAGTGGGTAAGAATGTTTAATTCTGTTGTCACCGATGATTTGGTAAGGAAAGTTGATGAAGCATTTCATGAGAACAGACGCTTCACAATTATCGCAAACTGTGTTCCCGATGGGTTCCAAAAATGCTCACTGATGTTCACAAAACAAAGCGACTTGGTAGTGCCCTGACATTTCTCACGCGGTACAGTGATGAGGGAGAAAACCTTTTAAACCAAATTGTGACAGGCGATGAAACTTGGGTGTGTCATTTCACACCAGAATCGAAACAACAATGGATGGAGTGGAGACACACTCATTCTCTGAAAAAACAAAAGTTCAAAGTGACAATGTCATCAAAAATTCATGTGCACTGTCTTCTGGCATAGGAAAGGCATTTTGCTTACTGAATTTCTTCCCAGGGGTGAAACCATTAATGCGGCACGATATTGTGAGACTTTAACAAAACTAAGGCGTGCCATTCAAAACAAACGAAGAGGAATGCTCAGTAAAGGAATTGTGTTGCTCCATGACAATGCTGGGCCCCATACTGCTGGTATCACTCAATCGTTAATTCGACAGTTTCATTGGGAGCAGTTCGATCACCCGCCGTACAGCCCGAACTTGGCTTGGTGGCAAGCGCTTTGGATCTGACGATGACACGAAAAATGCTGTGGAGTCGTGGTTATCGAAACTGGCGGGAAGTTTCTTTGACGATAGTATACAAAAACTGGTCACCCGCTATGACAAGTGTTTGATCATTTTCGGAAACTATGTTGAAAAATAGTTTAAGACATGTATTTTCATGTAAAAATAAAATTGGATTCGAAAAAATTGTTTTACTATTTTTTTTTTTTTTTTTTTTCAAAACGGTACTTAGTTTCCGAATACGCCTCGTATGTATACGAATTACTTTTTGGTTGATTAGCTTTTCTTCCCAGACTTAACAAAATAATTCCTCTGATCTTTCAATAATTATCCATTTGGATGATAAGGAAACTAAATTGCAAGGTGGTAACTAAGACACAATAACACGTCGAACAAATACTAATTCAGAAGTCAAACAACAAAAATTAGCGTTATATTTTCAAATTCACAGACAGACGCAAGGAAACGAAAACCACGCGAAAAAAAGAAAGCAAAAAATAAGCCTGTTTGGGGCATCTATAATTAAGACACAATAACACGCCGAACAAATACTAATTCAGAAGTCAAACAACAAAAACAAAATGCAAGTGAATGCCTGTGAAAATTTGCAAAGTGGTACTTTATGCTCAAACTTAATCTAATTTTGCGATTGAAATATCGTGTATTTTATATAACTTTTCTCTTGTTACTCATCGTAGGTTGTAATAGAAAACACATTAGAAAGTCCAGATGGATTGGCCATTGATTGGGTAACAAGGAAACTGTATTGGACAGATTCAGGTACTCATAGAATAGAAGTTTCTAACTTCGATGGAGCAATGCGGACAATTCTAGTTTGGGAAGCTCTCGAGAAGCCAAGAGATATAATAGTGGATCCAGTCACTGGGTAATAATTTTAATTATAAAACAATTGTTAACTAATTGCTTCTTTTGTTAGTTTACTGTAGCGTTTTATGAATTCCATATCTCATATTAATATTATTGCTTTAATTAAATAACAACACTTTTCTTTGTGCTGGGAGATATTTTAAACAGATTTCGTTGAGCTTTCCATTTATATTAAAGTTTAATATTTATTAACACAATCTCAATTGTGGTTATATATAATGTTGTGAACAAAGCAATATTTGTTTGCAGCTAAATTGTAATGAAAAATTTTTACTTATAAGGGAAAATTCATTAGTTAATGATATATTATCCATTACTTTTTAAAACTATTTTTTATAATTCGACAGTTTCATAATTTCACCCTTATAAATGTCTTTAGTTTATGAATTGAAAAACTGACAGACTGCGTAATGATCATCATGTGCTGCAGAAAATGAAACAGATGAATTTGCCAATTGAAAATACTGGTCGTTTTTCCTTTGTCACCCTTCACTGTCTTGCTGGAGGATTTCTCCTTTTCTGTTGATCATTGCTAAGCGTTTGATGAGCAAAGATTCATGCAGACGTTTGAATCGACGACATCATATTTCCAAATTGATGGCCGTGTTCATTTCCAGCAACTAAATCTATATAACACCTTCCATAACCTATCATAAACAAAGCTTGATTTCTTTAAATTTAAATTAAATAAAGCTCTCGGAAAGGCTCGGCTAACTAACTAATGACAAGTTTGACTAAGGCTCGGCTACTTTTCTTGGCATTGTACATTAACATAAAAGATACATGTTTTGCTACTGGTGATGATGAAACCGTAAAATATATCAACCATTTGCGATTTCAAAAAGGAAGGGGGAATGTTCAAATAATAGCGCATATTCTTGGCTTAACGTTGGTAAGGTACTGGAATTCTCTTTTCATTTATCTTTCTGAGCTTATTATAACTAGCATCCTTGCTGCGATAGCTGCTTCATGGATATACATTCTAAGATCAACTTAAACTATAGCAGCCAGTTGTTAATTAACCACATCTGATTGTTTGACCCATTTTAGAAGTCACTAAGCTCATAATCAACTGACCTAAAACATTCGAACTAATGACGTCAATGAACTAATGACAAGTTTGACGTCTACTAATGACGTCAATGAACTAATGACAAGTTTGACGTCTACTAATGACGTCACTATAAACATCTCAGATGTTTCTTGTAGCTTGTATAACAGTACTGCAGCTTCAAAACTCGTATAATGTATTCCGTGTACCTTTCAACTTCCATTAAGAAGAGAAAAATACAAAATATTCTTTAATCAACTGACAAGTATTACCTTTGAACCTGATAACCGCAGTATTCAAGCATACGGTAATATATTTTCAGATAAAGCATAAAACGATTTTAAATATGCATGGGATAAAACCGTCATTATTTTCTTTAAAACTGAGCTCATTTTAATTTAGAAGAATGTCTGTCCCTTTAAAGCATTACAATTACATAGGGATAGAGTAAGATCGAGAAATTATTTCTGATTGATGGCTGATTGATGTAGATAATTTATTTTTATATTAAAATTATTAGAATAAATTGCTTTATGATGCTAAGCATATGTTCGGAAATTTACTAATAAACAACATTGAAAACTATAGTAAAAAGGTTTGTGATTAATTTTAAATATAACTAATGCAAAAATTTCCGATTTTATAGACAGCATTTTGTACATTTGAAATATTTAAGTTGATTACTTCTTAATTTGATTGATTTGTACCAATAGTCAAATAAATACCCCAGAATTCTTCATTTAGGAATCCATTTTAAAAGCCCAGTGTCTCTCAGACTTTGTTACCTCACCAGTGTTAGATAATCACTCGTCCCTTTCCTTGAAATATTCATATACGTTTATTTAAATTTAAATTATTTTTAATGTATTTTAGAAATTAAATAATAAAAAGTATACAAAATATTCATAAACGCCGAATCTTGAATAAAAGCAGCTTTTTATATTCACAAACTAAAACCAGACACTTAACAGGCAAATAAAAGGCTTGCCACAGAAACTATAAAATACCTCCCAGGGAAGGAATTTCCTTCTTGTTCACAAACCTTAGTGTAGACGTAAATTGCAAAATGTCGATAATATTTAGATGCTAGTTTCGATTTTTAGTAAATTATACTGTAAAATTATTAGTATTTGCCTATCATCGCAGAAAATTTTCTTTCGAAAATGTAACTGTCCCTCTGGTTAAAATGATGGTCATGTTTGGAATTTTCAGTTATTACATGACCCGTATATCCAGTAAGCGATCTAATGTCACAGCGTCATTTGTAATGTTTTCTAACGTAAAAAAAAAGCGTATGTTTTATTCATTTTATGTGCAATTAAAACGATCATAAATGGAATTAATAATAAAAACTATTTTTAATTGAAGAAGGCTGTTCGAACACTTGTTAAATTTACTTAAGTTCACGCCGGGAAATAATGTTATGAATCTTACTTCACGGCACCAATGTTATGAAGAAAAGAAAGTTTCGACCATAGGTTAAATAGTTTTTACTTCTAGGTACCATGTTATATCTGAAATTCCTATATTGTTAAATGTTAAATATGAAACTACTTGCCGTTAAAGGGAGTGATCGTATAGTGAAACGTGTACAGCATTTTTGCGTTGTGAAAAAAATGCATTCCGGGACCGCGCCGTGAGAGGATCGAAAACATAAAACATATACAAGATATAAAGGAAAAGTTCATATTAAATATATAAAGAAAACATACTGTAAGAGGTTCCAGATTAAATATCAGTTTATTCAATTACAACACAATAAGAAAAATCTTAACCTCATCTGAGAGTCTGTTCATTTAAATTCATAAAAGACTTAAGGTTTGTCTGGTGATTTAAAAGAACGGAAAGGGAAACAATTTAAGGCCTGAGAGTTAAATTTTAGATTTGACGTTGTTTTTTTTTACTGCTAAGGACGTTTTTGAAAAAACTTGCCTAAAGTTCCAACACACCAAAAAAAATAATACTTATCTTGAGTGGACATCTTGAAGTGGAGGAGAGCTCATATCTTAGTTCTATCCTTACGTCACTTGGCAAATCCGCAAGACAGAGACTCGAACGGCACGACAATAAATTACATCAGCTATACCGTCAAATCTTACGCCTGCTACTGTTTTCCATAGAAGAAAATTATTCCCACTGGAAGCAAGAGAACAGCTTACACCGCACGGCTGTCTGCCTAGACTCTCAGCTCCACCAAGGAAAACGTAGACAATTAAGCTAGGCATTTTAGAGAACGGCTAACGCAGGCTTCCAGTTGACTAAGGTGACATAATTCCTTCTGTTTTCAAGTCGGAGTTCAGAGGACATCGTCCTGACTTTTGCCGATACAGATAGAGACCCAAGTCTCTGTTAATTTTTTTGTTATTCGCTCAACAGTTTTTTTTTTCTTCGCATTTTTGAGAAAACCCGCGGCCGGGGAGCATAATTGCCGCTCCCCGCCGGAAGCACAGCTCGATGCCGACTAAATCTTTTCCTTTCTCCTTCGCAACACCCACAAGTTTTTTCTCAGTCTCCGTCAACAAGTCCGTCAAGCCCGAAAATCAGCGAGTCAGTCAGAGAGTGCCTAAGCGAGTCCAGAGTAAGTGTGTCTCGCCTCTTAACCAAAACGCGGCCGGGGAGCATATTTGCCGCTCCCCGCCGGAAAACACCTCTCGGAGTCACTTACATTTTGTCCAGCAAGCCCAAAAATCAGCGAGTCAGTCCGAGAGTCAGCCAAAAGTAAGTGTGTCCAACTCAAATTTCCTTCTTGTCCTTCACCAAACGGGCTCCCACTATGGCTTCACTTATCGCCCCCTTAATTATGGCAAAATCTTCGTTTTCAACTCCAGAATGCGGAAATAAGGGTGATCGCGCATGCGCGCCCTTCTTCACTTAGCCAACAACCGGACCCTCAATCGCCAAAAACCTGAATGACTTACATTGAAAGACAAGTAGCAACCTTTGACCTTTCCGTCACGTACTTTCCTCTCTTAAGGTCAACTAACAATGAAAATTCTTTCTCGAACATTCTAAAGCGCGCGAAATCATGACTTGGCGAAAATTGCCTCCCTTTCCCTGCTTCTTTCACAATGAATAAAAGTTTGTACAAGATTTACAAATAGAGTAAAATAAATAATATTCTTTTAAACTAAATAATATTCCCAGAAGCATCTGTCTTTCCCCAAAAATTAAAGCCTTAAATTAAATAATTCAGAATCAAAATAAAATTTAAATTTCCATAAATCATAAAATCATGCACCTAATTTTTTTATAACGCTATCAGATAATTTCTCTACATAACACACTCATGAACAGTTTTGAATATTTCAAGGAAATGCTGTAAAATCTTAGATCACATTTTATTGGAATGGCACAGGAATTACATTTTGAAGTCCAGTCCGAAGCTTCCTACAGAATAGCTTGGTAATACTTATAAAGTATTACTATAAAGATGAAGACATCCGTTCATTGAAGAAAGGAATAAAACAACTTAGAGAAAATTCGAGAAAAAGCATATCAAAGTTCTTGACGACTGAAGCTTTACAAAATTAGAACAACATCTCAACCGTTCTTCTCCAAACTATTTCTGCAACATAAAAAGTCTTCAAAAGATTCATACTGTTTGCCAAACTGTTCTGCAGTATTTTTCCAGAACACTAAAGAGGCTTTGGTTGTAAGATAAGACAAGTTTTACCTGAAGGGACAGAAACTAGTACAGAGAGAACGTAAAGTTCTGATTTTTGGCAAGGCAAGTCTAGGGGTCTTCATGATTAATGCCTTATAATAAATCATTCTCGGTTGCAGTTGATGAAATGTAAATTCCAATTTTCAGAGGTGTTTAAAATGAAACGCAGGCTGGCTGAAACACCTGTATGTGTAGGATAATTATCACTGGCTTTTTTGATATGCATAAGCTAATCTGTTGAACGTTAATAAATCATTATATCCTATATGACCTATTCATAAAC